AAAGTACTTTGTTTATAGTGCTGAAAATGTTACAGACCTGACACATAATTACAGATTTCACTGATTTTTTCCCAACCAATAGTCATGGCTCTCAGAAAAGAGAGATCTTGCAGAATCTCTTGTGACCAAATCAAAACATGACAGATGGCAGCTGTATGTGCATTTTGCAGTAAAAAAAGCCAAAGAAAAATACTTTATTTAGTTTTTACACTGTTGATTCAGATCAAATAATTATGTCCTTTTATTCAGGTCAGCTCTCACTGGTCATCAGTCTTTCATGAATAATGTAAAACTGTTTCATATGAGACAGTAAACTCATATGATTGGATTATACATACCCAACACCACAGAGTAATGTGGGAAGATCAGCCTCAAACCAGGGCACATTTTGAGATTATCGATGGAGGTTAATCGACCTCAAAATCAGCCTATTTATCTAGTACTGTGGGCCAAGAATGACTCAGATACTTACAGACTACATGTCTGCACTGTCTAGTCTATTTTATTCTGAATTGATGCAAAAAAAGAAATGTTCTTTATTTTTCTGCTGCATAGAATGATCATAAGGCAGAAGTGGAGAAGTAAATATTCATCTTTACCAACTCAACAGATGCTATACTTGTCAATCTAAACTCAAGAATCCAAAAATATATACAATTTTGCATGTTAGACAGGTCCATTATGTATCTTCAACACCATGTGCTGGTCTAACTGCAATTAACACATGCAGCGATACTTTCGAATTGGATTGCTTTGGTGAAGATTACCCAGATCTCACTGACAGTATGGACAGCATAGCTGACAAGTACTTCCTGTTTCCACAGTACCTGACATGAAAACTAATTGCCTTCAGTTTTTTGTAAGCAAACGTAAGGAAGTGTAAGGAAGTGCAAAAGTGCATGATGGAGGGCAAACAGCAAATACACTGTAATCCACAAAGACATGCACACACGCACATTAAGTATTGGCTAGACATATTACTGGAATGGCAGTAACTGTCATACTTTGACATTGATATCAACCAGTTAAGTCAGCATAAACTGACTGACATAAATAACTGGAACTTCAATCTTGTATCAGATTTATCTGTATAATTTTGTTGAGATTTGTGGCTTATGGGCCTATAGTCATTTAGTTAGACTGCATCTTGTACAAAGATGAACGGAAGTGGTGGTAAACTTTGAACACCCCAGCTTGTAGCGAGAACATTTTTGTCTCGTGCTGACACAGGAACTGAAAGACTGATTCGGAGTTTCATTATGTGAGAAATTTCTCAAACAACAACAATGCTTTAACTGTTTACTGTATTTAGTAAATGCTTCCCTGTAATTCTGTTTTTTCTTTTAGAAAATCTGAAATACAAAATAACTTTTCTTGCAAAGACTGAAATTCTTTCTTTGGGTTAGATTTATTTTTCAGTTTTAAAGCACATTTTTAGATATAATTTGAATTGAAAAGTTGAAAATTGCCTTAATATAACCACCCACAGCATTAACAACAGCTACACAAATAAATTTTAGCTAAAAATGATCTGACATGTTATCTAATTTTTCAGTAGCATTACCCAGAGACATGGAAGACTTGTGCTCTACATGTTTTAGGAGACTGAGTTCTGGAAACTGAACAGAACAAGTCATTAATTTGAGATGTTCATTCTCATTCACAACTTAGACATGTGTGGGTCTTTAAGATGAGAGACTACCACAAAATGAAAGGGCAAGTATGCTATAATAACCATACTGGAAGAGATAACTATATACTTGATGAAGATCATCAGTTCTGTCAGCAGCAAAGCTTCTCCAGGCCATTTTATATACACGGTCTCTTTGTCACCCTTTGAAAGCCTGTAATTACTTTAAAAAACAAACATCTTTAGGACAAAATGCAAGAACTTGTATTTGTGACTTTTTCTGCTGTGCTGAAAACCATTTATGGATCACATAGTACATAATGAAACACACAATAGAGAATCAGCAAAGAATCTGCTTTTAAGCAGGTGTACTTAACAGTTTGACCAGTATTATAAAATTGTGGCCCACAGATGCCACAACCACTGTGTAAATCCCAGGCAAAAAATCCCAGTCAAAAATCCAGAAGAAGAAACATTCCATATGACGTTTTTGAGTGTGCAATCTAAGTTTAGAATTTGAATTCGTGTCTCAGTCCAGGCTCATCCTGTGTACGTGTCGTGTAGCACACCTGTAAATGCACAGCTAACTTCTCACTTTTCAACTTATCAGCACCTTCCAAAACCTCTAACCATTTCCTTCTTAGACAGTGCATGGTCTGAAGTCAGTTTTTTTTTCAGACTAAACATACACTGAAAAAAATACATTTTTAAAAGGCTTTCAAAAACCATATACAACCATTTAACCATACAGTGAATCACTGAAACGTTCAGATTCTTTGTGTTCATGATTCTACACTTTACCATGGGCTTCACTAAAGAACCCTTGAAGTACCAGTCCATGAACTCACTCAAATATCTCATTCCTTATTTATGTTCGTACAGGTTGTGCTAAGTAAGTTAGCATGATGGATAGCTAGTGTTAGCTGGCTAGGCTAATGTCACCCAACTTATAAACTTGTTGCATTTATGCAGATTCACAGATGTCAATGCATTTTAGTGCTGCTTCAGAAAGTTTTACAGAAAAGCTGATGATGCTATATATTTTTCTGTATAATTACAGTATTGTTACAATAGTATCACATTACCTGTACAAAAAGGTGTTTGATACAGTATAACCTGCTGGTGCTGTATATTTTTTCCAGATTTCAAAATGGGATGCTGCATCAAGCTGTAAAACATGTTTTTAAAAAAATGCAGTGTTTTCTTTTGACTGAGAATTCCCAGGCTGCTGCTTTTATACTTATATATTGGTCAGACAGGAGGCTGTATAGGTATATTAGGTCTGTTATTAAAAATAGTTGATTGTTTAGTATAGGTAGTATAGTAGTAGGTATGACTGAAACATAACCAGTTCTGGATCAAGTATGCACATTCTGTACCCTTTGTAAAATGTTAGTCCAGTAACAGTAAATAGTCTCTCTATCTGCACTTCCTCTTTATGTTTTCCTGATTGAGTTAAAAGACAAAAAGTACTTGCTTTTAAAAATTGCTTAAGAATCAAATAGCTTTTCTAGAGTTATTCTGGAGTTATTCTAGTGATCATAGTTATTGCATTTTTTGATGAACAATTGCTGCTAAGACCTGTGTGTTGTCTGAAATGAAAAACAGTTTAATAGGCAACATTTTTCATGTTTATTTAAAAAAAATAATAAAAAAAAAAAAGTTTTTTATTCAGTACTTCAAAATAACTGCACTTTAAGCTGGTGAAAACCAAAAGTCCAGTTCCCCACACCACTCTTTCCAAGCAACACAAGTCACATGCAACACAACTATGGATATTGTTGCTTTTGCTGACAATCTTTTGAGCCTGACATGTCAACTACAGAGATTTTAATGGTAGATGATTTAGCATGTGAAACTCTTAGTAATCTTTGGATGAGTACATTGAATTTAGTTGACAAAATGTTAAAAGGCTACATCCAAAATACTGCAGTCTCATTTCAACACTCATCTACATACGCCCTCACCCACTTTACATACCTACATTACACAAGTGGCTCCTCACGGCAGAAGCAGAAGTGGCGACAGTAAAGAGCAGATTATGCAAACGGAAGTCTGAATATAACGTACATAAAATTTGTAAATAATTGCTTTGTCCATCTATATATTTTGGTGTAGAACTGTTGTGTAGTGCCTTTATTTTTGTTGTTGTTAACATTGTAACCTTTAGCATGCTCAACTTGCAAGCTAGGAGGGCAAAGTGATGAAGTTTTTCAGCAGTCATGCAAATTGCATGTTACAGTTTTGAACTATTAAGCATTTTGAAGTTTACTGCTATGGCTTGGAAACAACTTTGGGCACTATTTTTTGGGTTCAAAAAGGGGAATGTGTCAAGTAGCAGTGACTTCAGGACAAATTCTGCTGTTGAAGTCGACAACTTTGTTCACTGCATCCCTTTTTTCCCTCCGATGGCTCATCTAGCACACTCTACTTGATCCAATAAGGTAATGGAACAGGCTTTAAAATGGCGTCCAAGATTTTTCAAGGGCAAATGGTGAGGTGAAGTAGATGAGGGCTTGTTAAAACCAGTGCTGGAACGGGCAGTGTGATTTCACAACAGTATACACATCACATACTTGTGAGTGGGCTGCACATTCACAGTGCTACAGCTAGCTAATTTAGCTATGAGACATGCAAGTGTGCATGTTCGGTTTATGTTTTGGCAGGATTAATTGGTAATGCATTTTTCCACACTGTTTAATCCAGACTTTACACCTCTACATATTGTTAAATTTTAAATGCTTGCCAGTGATGCCCAGGCCTAAGCTACGATTGGACAATCAGTGTTTGGGGGAGGGTTTTAATAAACGATGCATCATGATTGGTTTGCTTCGGTTTGAAAGTACATTAAATTCTTGTGGATATTTTAAATCCAGTATTCTTCCACTTCAGACTTATAAGTAACAGCACATTAGCACAGAAAATAGTGGAGTAAAAAGTACAATACTTTACTTTGAAATGTAATGGAGTGAAACTCATGAAGTCTCAAAAAATGGAAATACAGTACTGTGCAAAAGTCACAGACTACCTTTAATTTATTCAATTTCCAGTCAAAACAGCCATTAAGGACAAGTTATTAATTTTTCAGTAGATATTTCTGAGAAGATTAGATAAAAGATAATCCACTTGCACAGGGAAGGGAAAAAATACAGGAAATAAAACAGGAGTTCCCAAGCTGGAGTTCAAAAAATTCTTATAAGTTTTGGAGAAAATGGGACAACCGTGTAAGACCTGGTAGACCACCAAAACTGTCACCATCAGATAAACAGTACTTAAAGCTTTCATCTTTGAGAGATCAAGCTCCACTCTTACTTCAGATCTGAAAAAAACAACAACAGGTGTTTCTGTCCATCCTTCCACTGTGAGAAGACAACTCAACACTATGAGTCTGAAAGGATGTGTAGCCATGTCATTCCTGAGAAAAGGAAATAGACAACAAAGAATAAAATTTGTAAATCAAACTAAGAAGCTGCTGGTGTTCTTAGAACAATGGAATGATTTTATCATCATTAAATGTTTTTGGAATTACATGGTTTGTGAGAAGCAGGAAATGCAACTATTAAGACTGAACTTTAAAGGTGTGAAAAAACCCTGTAGATTATATTTGAAAAACTGAAAACAAGTCTCCTAAAAGAGTGGAAGCTGAAATAAGGTCACAAGTCGCAAAAAATACTGAATAAAATTATATTTAGTCATTGAGGCTTTGGAGTCATTTTCTGCCAAATAGATGTTTGCTGTTTCTTTTCCTGACACTGAAAAATAAATAGCTTGTGCTAAATGGCTATTTTACTGGAAATTTAATTAATAAAGGGTGATCACTGACTATTGCACAGTACTGTACAGTAATAATGTAAAGGCCAGGGTTCTTTAATTCTGGTACTGGAGGGGTAGTATCAAGCAGAGTTTGGTGATTTCCTTGCTCAAATGTGCCCACTAAACCTGGCAATTAACAGAGGAGTTGAACCAGGTGTGTCTGAAGAAGGAAATTCCCAAAGTGTACAAGACCCTCCAGGACTGCAATTGAAGAACCTTAGCATAGGCTAATGCTTGATAAGTACAGAACAGTAATGAAATATACGTCATTCCTTTCCACCACTGCACATAACAGCTTAAAATAAGTTTTTAAATTGGCCGTCAACTAGATTAATATCTCAATTATAATCCTTAACCAAAGTTAGATTTGACAAGTATAGCCTTTCCCATAATGCAAACACAGTTAAAAGCTAAAAAAACTCAACTACCCTGCCTGATCAAGACTTGCACCAGTTACCCCACCATTTCTAGTGCATACTAAAGTGTGCTGTCATGACCTTTTTTGAAGCTTATTTTGGCAGAAGTCAGTCTTTAAATCAGTGAGAAATAGTGGATTACATGGGTAAAGTTACACTCGATCAGGAGTGACAAAGAGTCAGCATTAGTGGCCAGCACAAGTAGGAATCTGGCCAAAAGATTTTTTAAAAAGTATTTTACTAAAGCTAGGTGACTATCATAGATGACAAATCAGTCACATCATGTGAGATTTGCTCTTGTTTTTGAACTCTTCGTACTAAAGAGTTTTGGAGGCTGTTATCTTTTGCACTGATTGTGTCCTGTTTGATGCCATGATAAAAGGTGATGGGATGATAAAATGAATAAAGAGAAGGATAAATAAAATAATGCCCTAATTCTGTTGCCAACGTTTTCCATTAAAGAAGACAAATGTTGACTTTCACCACCACTTCCTGATTGCACTGTGGCTTGCCATCAGTCCAGTCACAGGCATGTACCTTTTAACTGCGTGCACCTGAGGAGTTTCGGAGGCTGTGGTTTCTGTCTGACAAATGAGTCCGGAACAAGCTGCCACTGCGTAGGCTGGTCAAACTTCTCCTGATCTCTTTCCGGACATTGTCACTAGCCAGCACGTACAGTACTGGGTTCATGGCACTATTAACGGTGGAGAGGCCGAGAGATATGGTGTAAGGTGTATAGACTGTTTTGTCAAACTCACAACCCCAGCTTGGGAAGTGGTAACTGATGGCCCGTAGTAAAAGGATGACATGGTAGGGGGTGAAGCAGACCAGGAAGAACAGGATGACTGCTACAGCAAGGTAACGGATTTTGACCTTCTGTTCTGCCCTTAGGCCTTCACTTTCCTCCACTTTGGTAAGGACAGCATGGTTAGTGACAAGTAGAATACACAGAGGAATGAAGAATCCGATGACAAAGCGGGCGTAGTTGAAGCCTGTTACGGTGAGTGTGTTTTGCCCAGGCTCAAAGCAACGCTTCTCCTGCCTAGCCTCTGTGTCACCTTCTGTCATGGTAAACACTGGCATGTGGCCCAGAGCCACCACTGCCACAATCACCACAGTGACTATTACAGCTCGTTTCATTTTTCTCAGAACCCGAGACTCCATCGGATACACCACTGCCACGTAACGGTCCACAGAGACACAGCACAGGAGGAAGATGCTGATGTACATGTTATTGAAGAAGACGTAGCCTGTGACTTTACAAGCCAGGGAGCCCAGGTTCCACTTGTGACTCTCGTTTATATAAATAGTCCACATGGGTAGTGTTCCTAAGTACATCAAGTCACACACAGACAAGCTCAGCAAGTATATTCCCAACACATTCTTCCGACAGACCTGAAGGAATGTAAGGTAGACCGTGACCATGTTGGCAGGTAGACCCACAATGAGGACAATGCTGTACACAACCAGGAGAGGAAATTTGTCGTTTTCATATGGAAGCGTGCAGTTATCTGTTGAGTTTTGTGATGAGGTTCCATTAGTCATGGCCATGGTCACTAGACATGACACACAAAGATGCACAGCAAATTAATCTGTTATATAGTCATAAATCAAGCAAATTAATTGCAGTGTACACTGGTAATAACTGTAGAGACAGGAACAAAAATAATGTAATATGCAAAAAAACATGTAACTGCAGGTACTGAACCAATTGAGATAAGAAGTAATGAAAGCGTGTTGCCGCCAGGTTAGCATAGTTCAAACTGCATGCCTAAATCTTAGCATATTTGCCTTAAAGTGCTTTAAGTTGTTAAACAGTCTCAAATAGACTTGCTTATGTTAAACTATAATATACTGCTTTTTATGAAGCTGTACAATGTATGGATACAATTCTGGCTTCTGGCTGTTGGTAGCTAGATTTGAGAAAAGAACTCTTTTTTTAGGGCAAGTGAGATTTAGCCAAATGCTTTTGTATGATGCTGGTGCTTTTAAAGCCTCATTAAATGCATTCAACATGCCTTTTTCTGATCAACATTTGGGAGTAAAATTGTGTGTACTTGATTTTTGGCAAACCATTGCTTTAATGACATGAAAGTTGCAGCAACATTGTTAGCTATGTTAGGAAAAGCAGCATTGTTAGGAAATGTAAGGAGAAAGGAACTTACCTACACATTCCAACCTTTAAAACACACTGGAATTAACGTTAAACATCCTGAAATGTTAATTTCAACTGATTCACCTCATAGAGATTCAGAAGTGCTTTACTTGCACAAGTGATGAAGAACTTCTGTTTTTAAGAAACCTTGTGTACTATTCCAGAATTTGACCTGTATTAACCTAACAGTTATGATACCTTTCCATTGACAGTTTTTGTGATCAAGGGATTTTCGTGATCAAGGGAAGTTTCGTGATATGAATGTCATTGTTCTATGAGAAAATTATCTGAGTATAACTCCCATGTGTGCAACCTGTGGTAAGTCAAAACCTGGTGTTTACATGAGATGCAGATGAAATGGTTGATTGCTTCAACTTCAGATCTGATAAGGACATCCGTTAAGGGTTTGGCCTGGCAGAACTAAGTGTATTATAGTGATCTGTTTGTGAAATTATAAATTAACTATCAACTGTTTCTGAAAGAAACATCTTTGCTAGCAACTTCTGGGTTTTATAATAAATTTCTATTTTATGTAGTAGTTATTTGTATGGACATGGATTTCTATGTTGAAAGTGATCTGCAACCTTATAAGGTGAAGCAGCAGGTGTGTATGTGAAATTTGCACGAGACTAAACAGAAATTTAGTAAAATTAACTGTTTGGAGGAAGTACAGATATTTTTTTTTGCTGGGATTACACAATTTTTTTTCCAATCAACAGTCTTGTCTACTACTATCTAATAGGCTTTTTCATAGTTTACTCTTGTTCAGGACAACCTGGCTCTTCCCTATTACAGGACACCCCAAGCAACTTGCCTGGTCTTTTAAACTTTCTAACATAGCAAAACACTCAGAGGAGACTGCAGCACTTGTCACCATGCTGGCACCAAAGTATACCAATGCACAGAGGCTAGATGGGGATGCTTTATCTCAATTCCACCCCTTACAGTCTGCGCTTGTCCAGACATTTGTAAATATGTGTATGATCAATGAACAAATTGGTAAAACAGGTTCTTGTCACATATAACCTTCCAGTTCTGCCACAGTTACTTTTTTATTTCTGCACCTTCTAACTTAGTATTTCTAAATCCCGCTCATAAAGACAGTTTCTTTCCTGCCCCAACACACCTAATGCAGTTCCTCACGTAGGCCTTCATGAGTTGGGTAAAGTGTGCTGAGGCAGCTGAAACTGAGTGGGTCTACAAGAGTGGGTCCCCAAGAGCAGAGCTAAACCTCTGCCATAGCTCACTGCAACATGCAGACTGGCTCAACTGAAAAATCTGCTGGTTACTGGAGGGGTGTTAGACTAAGAAAACGAAGAGTAGCTTTTTAACCAAGATCCTGTCATGCTTCCTTTTCATGAAAGCAGCTTTCAGGGTTCCCTAGATGCCACACAATTAAAAAAGATGGTTCTTCAAGGGCTCCTTAGTAAAGGGAATGGTTCTATTCAGAATCATTCATGGTTAAATTTTTCTTTCTGAAAATAGTTCTATATAGCACCAAAGGGGTTCTTCTATTGTTACATTGTTTAGTGCATTTTCAAAAAGGTTCTACATAAAACCATATACAAAAAATTCTCTATCAACCTAAATAATGTTTTCGCCATGCAAAGAAACATTTAAGCATGAAATTGTTCTATATAAAACTCATGGTTCTAAATAGAACCATTCCCTTTACTAAAGAACCCTTGAAGAACCATCTTTTTTAAGAGCTTAGATCCCACCCTGAATTCCATGCTCTATTGTATTCTTTTGCAGCATATAACAGGCAGTGTAAGCTATGTTTGATACATATACTGAAAATAAGCATTTATATAAATAAATGATTCTTGTAAAACTACAAGTGCTGATAAAAGTAGGTTAAGAAAACCATGACTTCATCTTAATGTTGGTAAGTGATGACTTAAGTCATCAAGCAACTACAAATTTTCCAGCATCAGGTCAGCAGAACGCCTCCGACATAAGATTAAAATGAACAAATCTGTTTTCAGAGTTGACATAGTGCAAGTTGAACTGAACTTTATGCTAAAATAATTTAAACTAAATAACAATACAAATAAAACTTGAAATACTTTGATGCATCACCATCTATTTATTTTATTTTTGTTTTTCTCTCCTCTTTTTCTCTCTCTTCTTGGGTTAATATGTGTTGTATTTTCTCCTATATCAGTTATTTTCACATTTAATTGTTCAGTTTTTTTGGCCAGTCTTATCAGAAATAAAGCTCTTCTTTAAGCACAATAACTATGCATACTTGTAAAAGGAAGATATCTGAGGAAACGGAAACAGTGATTCTGTATATTGACCCACACTCTAAAATAAACATGACAACATAAGTATACTAAATAAAAGATGGTGCTTCAAGGGTTCTTTAGTAAAGAAAATGGTTCCATGAACACTCAAAGAACCCTTTGCATGATTAAAGGGTTCTTTGCATCATGAAAGGGTTCTTCAGACAGATGGAAAATGTGCATGAATGTGCTACAGACAGTTCTGTATAGAACCTTTTTGAAAAGGGTTCTATATTGCACCTAAAAGGGTTTTTCTATTGTTACAAGGTTGACATCGTAACAATAGAAGAACCATTTTGGGTGGGTGCTATATAGAACCCTTCTTAAAATGGTTCTATATAGAACCATCTACAGCACATTTTTCATCAGTCTGAAGAACAGTTTTAAGATGCACAAAAACCTTCAATCATGCAAAGGGTTCTTTGAGTGTTCATGATTCTATATAGAACCATTTTCTTGACTAAAGAACACTTCAAGCACCATCTTTTTAAAGAGAGTAGCTCAGCGGTGTGTTTTAATGATACATGGGATTCTTTTCTGTAGGCTATTCTTGCAGAACCCATATGCGTAGTCTAGAATGAGTTCTTGGAGATTTTCTCAGGTTTCAAAATCGCGCCAACACATCCGCCCTCATTTTCTCGTTTTCAATACACCTTGCACTCAAACACTGCCCCACAGCTTACTTTACAGCGCAGTAGTTTCAGTTCGCTTCAAAGTTACAAAAAAGTTACTGTCTTTTATATGTTGAATAAAGTACTAACACTCACCCTGATAGATGTGTAGCCTTCACCTGCCGCCTGTTGCTCAGTGGAGGCTGACTTTTCATATTTGACAAACCAGGAAAACGACCGCCTTTATGAGTCCGTTTAAACAGGGCTTCCCCTACCTAACCCCGAAACAATGCCTCAGACACGCTGCACGGAACATGAACAGCCCCTCTTACCTCAAACTAGCACATACAAAGCCTATCCAGTAAGAAGCACACGGGTTAATAACACAAGTCAACGAGTTTTATTTGTACAGAACCCCTTATTGATACAACAGAGCTCAGAGTGAACGCTGTGAACGTTTAATCATCAGCAGCTTCTGAAAAAAAAACAACAATGCCGGTTCATAAAGGCTCTGATTTCTTCAGTCAGGTGCACTCTTGGGAATAAAGAGAGAGGAAAGCAGCAAAATAAAGGATTTACGTCTATTTTATTTTTTTACACTCCTGTCTTTGAGCTTCAGGGTTTTATTAGATGTTGAAGTAAATCTACAGTTTAGCGTTTACATGAATGGCGATGAACGGGTCCTCTTCCCAGTTGCCGATGTTGAAGTTGGCTCGTCCATCTTTGTCCACCTGTATCCGCTTCCCTGTGCACCCACCGCTGAGTTTATCCCCGGAGATTATATCACAGTAGATGCCACCAGGCAGGCCAGTGCTAAGTGCCTCGTTCAGGTTCCTGTTAAAGCGCACAGTTACGAAAAACTCAGTAATAAACGATTACCCTGGTTGGATTGCATGTTTTATTGATTTTCATAGTGGGTGGGTGGTTGTTCAACGCACCGGTCATCGTTGTTGATAACAATGAAGCCCCGGCTGCCGCGGCCAAAGGCAATCTGATTATTTCCGTTGTCCCACCAGTTGGAAAAAGGCTGTCCGTCGACAACATTACGGAACTTCACCATATTCCTGCACAGTGACAAGAGAACGTCAGCCTATATTGGAGCTTACATCTTGGCGAGCTGCAAGCTGCCAGAGGAACTGCAGAATACACCAACCTGATCTGGCGCCATCTGTGTTCACACACCCAGCCATCCCCGCATGTGGTGTCTGGGTTGATGGGCACAGCCTTGGTGGATCCATTGCCGTGGCTTGGTGGACCCATCCAGTCATTCTTGTCCTATAACGCAAAATACTGAAATTAGCAAAAGCTTTAACTTGTTTGAGCTGACACAAACTGCAGTAAGCAATGTTTGACATTATAAGTTGATATAGTCTAGCTGTGCTCATGTAGGCCTTCACTGCGTGGAAAAAGCCCGCGACTAGTTCCTCATTAACATGTCATTTGCTAACGGCATGCCCCACACTACATATACCCTTAACTACATATATGCCCTAATTGACGTGTCAACCACAAGGCCCGTGACACAGTTCTATTCGGCTGGCGAAATGTTCATTTTCTATTCTATTATCCCGTTTCACTTTTTGATGCACTAGAGCCCCCAGCATGCACTGCAACATAGTGTGCGTTCTGACCCCCTTCCCCAACAAAATGGGCCAGCGGTTACACAGAAAAAAAGGATGCCTGATGTCTAGTTCAAGCAAATAGGCAGTTTAAAAAAAAAAAACACCTAAGTCATTTTTTTTATTTAGAATTATTTGTGAATTAGTATTTAGTGTCTATTCTACTGTTGCAAATACTGGTGTATTTTGGCAAAAACCTGCCAAAATGTCAAGTAAAAATGAAATAAAAACACAGCTGGCCCTCGGATTTGCTGACATTTTTCTAATTTTAACTGAGTTTGACACCCCTGCCCTAATTCATTCAGATATTGCGAGAGTAAGCCAATAAAAGGACAGCATTCAGGAGGCTCGTGAGCCAATGGTCGTCCTCATAGACGGAGTTTAGTGGAAAACAACAGAGCGTAAACAGAAGAATTATAAAATAATGTGAAAATAATAAAATGTCCTTTTTTGTCGCATTACTATTTAAAGGGTAATCCCACCAATTTTTCAACATTTCTGCGTAATTCAACCGTTGAGACGTAAACAAAGTCGTTCAAAAAGTTTTGATGTGAATTCCAAAGCTTTTAATCCCTCTTAATCTACCTCACAGAAACATGAACTAGTGGTTGTCCTGAAAGGCAGAGCTTGGGGTCGACAAGGAAACGCACTGCGCCTCCTACTGGCCAGAGCGTAAATTGCTTTGTCGTGTTACATCTGTAACGATTGAAAAAAATCTTTAATTAGCAAAATGCCTTAGCTTTATTTAAGATAATACAACGGCGTAATAATTAAAAGAAAAATAAAACTACTAAAATGAAATAAAAATGAAAGTTAAATAAAGTAAAAGTTAAATAAAAAAAATGACTAATCCAAGTGTGGGGCACTGTATTTTTGTGTGCTGTGGTAAGTGTGCTTACCTTTCCATTCTCAAAATTGCGGTCCCAACGGTAGCTGGACATCACTCTGGTCACACCATAAGGATGAGCCAGCATGATACCCATAGCCATTTTATAAAGCCTGTGGAGAACAAACAGCATCCCAATAACAAAAGCTGGAGCTGTTAGTTAGAAAAGTGGGAAAACCCACAAAGACATTTGAAACTGTCTGGATTAAAAGAACTGAACTAATGACAGAGAAATTGCACCTGGCATCCCAGAATGTGAGGACAGAAGCTCCTCCAGCTCCATGGCCTCTTTGGTTGTCATGGTTGTCAACAAACACCACAGCCTTATCAGAAGGCATGAAAGCCCAGCCCTCTCCCCAACTTCTGAAAGCAAATATCACTGATAATATTAAATCAGTGACTATTCGTTTGTAACAATGCAAATAAATATTTTTTTTCAGTAGACCTTTTAAGCATGGACACAACATACTTCAGATAGCACAGCTTCTCATTCTCCCATTTGCGTACAACGGTGCCCAGTTTGACGCTGTATTTGAACTCTGTCACCCTTCCAAGACCAAAGTACTCACTGGCTTTGATGGGTTCCCCACCCAAGTCAATAACCTGAAAGAAAACTTTTCAGCTTGGACCTGTTGAGACCACTAAGCTTAATTCAATAAAGCATACCTCTTGGTAAATGAAGGGCTTGAGACCAGATGAGAACCATTTGGTGCTGAGGTTGTGCAGTCTATCATAAACCACACTAAGGTCACCAGGCCACATGTGCTTGCAAGCATCCACTCTGAATCCAGCCACACCCATGTCAATCAGTTTGTTCATATATTCAGCCACTTTTCCCCTCACATAATCTTTTTGCAAGGCAAGGTCCAGAAGACTCACCAGCCGACAGTCTCTCACCTTTGGAATTGAAGAGAAAATATGCCTAAACATTGTCGTTCTAAACAAAAACCAATAACAGTTGTGGTCCTAGTCAGAAATCACACCTGAAAAATATCATGGTAGTTCTCAATTTCACCATTAGCTGTTTTACATTTGCCATCATTGAAGTCCCAGGATGAGAAGGGAACAGAGGGGAAATTCTTCTTGTTGGCATCGAAATATGTGCCACAGCTAGAGTGATGGCCTTCTCCAGCACTTGTTCCACACATATGATTGATGACTGCATCCACGTAGATGTTCACCTAACAGCACACAAGCCAAAGACAAGGAAATCATTTATAGTTGCTTACTCAAAAGTGGGAATGCCTACATCTATCTAACAATATCTAAAACAGAGTCTTCATGGGTTTACAATCAGGTATCATTTTGGAAGCTATATAATAACAGTTAGGTGACTTTACTCCAACATTGTTGCAGCGGGTGATCATATCCCTCAACTCCTCCTCAGTGCCTGATCTGGAGCAAAGGTTGTAGCTGACGGGTTGGTATCTCTGCCACCACGGATGCCAAGGATTGGTTACCACAACGCTCTCGCTGGGAGGAGAGATCTACAAGATAATTAAACTACCCATTAGCTTAAGCAAACACCATTTCCTATTATCACAGCTTTGCATGTTATGATGCTATAATGTCTTGGTTTACCACCAATTCAGCTAGAAATGCAGCGCCTTTGCATCACAATTTAAAGGGCCCACATCATGAAAAACTGAATTTATCTCACTTTTTAGATTAAAGAATGTGATGTAAACACCAACGTCTTACAAAATTTTTTTCTTAAAAATGTTCTTGAGAAAGGTCCTAAGAAAAAGGGAATACTCAAAGAATAGTTCCTTTTGTTCTCACTGGTCATTTTGGTAGTAAATAAAAGGTTGTAGACATCACTCCATCAGGGTTCCTGTCACCACCACTGTCAGAAAATCTTCTCTGTAATAAACCATTTCACATAAAACCACTTAGTGTGATGGTCCGGTGGAAAGGACATGTGGATACTTTTCAGGTTAGGGTGCAAAAGCAGGTGTTTATTGAATCTCAGTGAAGAAAACACAAAAAAATGCAATTTATCCAGCACAAAAAAAGGAAAAGAAAAACCAAGGAAACTCTATATTTACAAATATATACAACTTAGTATGCATAATCCATTATTCAATCACAATTTTAGCGGTTTTCTGGGCTCCAACCATATTTCATCAACTTCTCCACCAGACTAACTCACTCTGCTCCTTCTAGGGCTTTTATAGAGCTAAACATGAAATGATGTGACATCACTTACGGTTTTTGAGACATGGCTACCTTCCTCTGGAATCTATTCACAGGTAAGTACTTTTCCCTTCTTATTTAATTTAGTTACTCAATTAAACCTTTTCTTGACTTCACCCATTTGTGTTCAAAAATATAACAGTGCTTAAACTGTTTAGTTATATTGCTAAAGCAACATTAACTCAACATTTTTATATATAAAACAGTTCATATTCAACATCAAGTTTATTTCCTCTTTTTTTCCCCTACAGGTTTGCTCTTCTCTATTCAACTTCAGCTTTCCAGCATAAACACTATAAATTAATAAAGGCTTTTTAGAAACAGCATGTGTCTGTCTGTTTGAATATGAAATGTCACCATTACATAGAAAGTCTTTGCATATATATTTATATTGTGGCGGAAGGCAGCTCCCTCACATTAGATTGACTTTTTTACCTCTTCGCAGTTGAATTTTGCAGAAATTTTGAAAAACAAAAAAAGAGTAGAATTCCCCTGTATTTGTGTGGTGTCAATGGCCCCAAAAATATATATAATTATTTAACCAGTAGTAAGCAAACCAGTGTTATAGAATGCTGAAGGTGCCGCTGTATCGTGTCGTAGTTCCCCATCCATGGTCTTACTTCTCATTTGAGATTCTTCCTTGATCAGATCATTCAGATATTACTACATTTTCAAAACATGCATTAGAAATGACCTTTTAGGAGAGACTTTTTAGATATTTGAGAGTTTGTATTTCTGTATTTTAACTCCAATTGTGAATTTGAAATTGTAAATCATCTTTTACCAGAATATTGTTTTAGATGAGCACTCGCACTTCCACTTGAGTAGGAATTTGTGTTTACTTGAGTAAGCAACGCTAATATGTATGTACACAGTAAAACTTATGCACGTATACTTGCCTGAACTCCTCCAAAGCCTTTTGGTGCCAGGTACCTCTCACACTCTGTAGCAATATCTGCCCAGCGCCACTCAAAAAGATGAACGATGGAGGTTCTTCCAGGTTTCATGTGAGGATGATGCTGACCCAAGCTCAGTCCAAACAGTCCTGCCAAGACCAGGAGCTCCATTTCCATCTCTATCCCAAATGGTCTCTGTCCCAATACATGCACTGCGGATTGGCCTGCGATACCATCCACTGATAGCAAATGCTGAAAAATAAATAGCTATCTCCAGTCCAAGGTGCAGCACAGATGTATGATTTGGTAACTCTTTCGGGGCCAATGAATTTCCCAAAGTATAAAGGGCAGTCTGTAAATATTTGTGCAGTGACACAATTTGATAAATTTGCATGAATCACTGATGAAAGGTGCCACAAAACCTTTTTGAGTGATGCCACAGAAGAACTACGGTTAGTTCCCTGAAGAAGCATGTTTGAAAAAGAAATACATGAGCATTAAGAACCTTTTAAAGGTCAAAAGAACCCTTACATAATGGAACAGTTACATACCAATTTCATTTTTTTGTTATGTGGAGGTTCTCTAAACTTTAAATAAGCTAATCACAGTCACACATCTTATTTACAAAAATATTTCTCTAAAGATCCACCAAAAATGGGTACCAAAAATGGTTCTTCTATGGCATTTTCATGTTTAAGAGTATACTCTCACAGTACTCTGCACTTTAAGCTTATAGTCACTGTTTCATGTCAGATTCAATGTGATGGCGTGAAGATTCAAAAACAAGTTGTCACTGTCCAAAGCTGTGTTCAAATATGCAATGTAAAATCTACAGGTTACATACGGATATTTTGCCCATGTTGTTTTAAAGGGGAATTCCATCAATTTTTCAAAATTGCTGCATAATTCAAACGCTGAGATGTAAACATATATTTTATATATGTATACATTACATATATTTTTATGTGACATGGTTCATTGTAGAAAGACAGATTTCTTTACAGTGGTGGTGACAGAAACCAGGGGTTGAGATGTCCTCAACACAAATATAGCCATTTTATTCGCTAACCAAAACCACCAGTGAGCCTCCACCTGTCTTTTTTATATGTAATGTTTGTTATATGTAATGTTATTAATGGATAAATAGCAATACATGTGAAAAAAATGTTTTTTTTAATTCATATATTTTATCATTATAGGACTATTTTACAACATAGCACCATACATGTACCTCTGCCCCATGAATATAAAAAATATGTTTTAAGCCAAAACCTTCTCAAAGCATCATAAAACATTGTCTCAGATGTCAGGCAGTATATCTGTCACCATGTTGTCAAATATCTTTGTACCATTTTAAGTTAAATATGAATAAAATTACAAACTAGGATACAAATTAGTAGTGTTCCTTTTAAGACGGCAGATTGTGTCAGACCTTTTTCGTTAATAAAAGCCAACATACTGCCATATCTCTGACAGAAGTTGCCCAGATCGGTTTTAAGATATGTGGGCCAAATAAGCATGTTTTAATATGGGCCACGTTCGGCTCATATGCAGTTTGCCAGTGCAGATAGGGGAACAACAGTGCTATATGTTTGCCAGACATGGCTCACATTCATCTGAGTGTTTTCATACAGGGTACTGCAGATTCAATAATTTAAAAGTATTTAATGGTAATTGTTTTCTGTAAATCAGCCTTTGTTAAAATGATGATGTTAGCAGGCTACTGAAGGATCACTGGTTGGAGCACACAGTGGAACTAAATGTCCACTTATATCATGTGAAGAGTATCCAGAGGAATCTAAGCAACAGGCAGATTTTAGATTTTTCAAATCTTTTTTAGAGATCAACCTTTATATTGATTCAGTGTAAATGATAATGTGTAAATTGGCTATGTTAATTTTTAGCAATTATTTTTAGGTAAGATTTAGAATAAATGAGATTTTATTTTTCTTTATATGCTGTTGAAATTCATAATGTCCTTTAAAAATGCACCATAGTTAGCAGATGACAATGTGTAAACACCTAAAGAGAGTGATAGAATCAAACATAAAAATTTTGTTTTTATCAAATTAACAGGCAGTGCTTTTGATACTGACAGTACATGACTGCTAAAATGTCAATGATTGATGTGTTTTATATGCTGTACTTGTTGTGATAGAAGATGTGCAGTTGTATCAGTCTTATGGTCTGTATTTTATCAGTCTTAGATCTGTATTATGAACAATACTAAATGTTTTGTTTAGGAGTGTTAGTGCTTTTCCATTTTTTATATAACCATTATTTTGGTCGGATAACTGGGCAAAGCTTGATGATCTATTTCAACATAATATGTTAAATTCAAGGTGCTTGCAATAAGTGTATGTTCAAATGCATAAACAGTTTTCAGGCTTTTTATGATTTTTTGTGTATTTGTTTGTTTGTTTTATGTGTGAACGTTGGACTATAACTTCATTGTCTCTCCACTACTGAAACTAAAACTATGGCCTTGGTACATAATACTGATGAAAATCTGCAGTGTGCATGGTCCCACTTTATATTAAGTGTATCTAATAACTGTGTAGTTACACATGAATAAAATATGCAACAATGATGTAACTACTGAAGATTAAGTCAATGTTACAGATGGAGTACAGAAGTACAGCCTATGTTATTACACATGTGTATCTGTTTGATACACTACAGATCAGCAGTCTTTTCCAGCAGTAAAAGGAGGTATGTTTTACATAACATTACATTTATGTACATAACTGTGTTGTAACAAGGTAATCCAATCACATAGCATTGATTAATACCATTCTGTAATTACACTGTTCCTATATAACAACTACACAGGAAGTATCCTGTAGTGTAGTGTTAAAGTTACACTTTAAAATAAGTAGACAGTTCCTGTGTAGTTGTTATATAGGTACTGTGTAATAATGGAGTGGTAATATAGACATTGCTTTGGGGGTAATGCAACACATTTAATTAATGTTATAAAAGTTGCATTTTAAGATAAGGGGACATCTGCTGTACTGTCACTTTACAGAATGGTTTACAAAATGGTTTGAAGCTGGTTACAATGCTGCAGCACTAGCTAAATAAATGCTAGCTAAATGTTAGGAAAGCTGGCAGATACAGTGTAAGTGATGTCTTAATGTAAGTTATGACATACTTCCTTTTACTGCTGGAAAAGACTTCTGAGAACAACTGTTGCTCCAGTCTGATTACAAATATAATTACATTTATGTTATGTTGGCTGTTACAACTATTAAGATACACTTGTGTAATTACATGAGGCAAAACTAAAGTTGATACACATGTGTGACATCTTGTGGCATCCCACCATGCAAAGCAGCCACGTGCAGAGGCTCTCAGCTGGCGCTGCACTCTCAGTAGGAGAGACATTTCGTGTAAATACTTTGTGGATGTAATGCTAGGAGATGTGTCAATGTGACGCATGTGTTGTTCTGTGTTGGGCAGTGGGTTGGTTAGGTGGGTTAAGTGTTTGCCATGAACAGAGATTGTTTGGCACATATATAGAGGCACACACTAAGTGGTTGCTAGGTGGTTGCTCGGGTATTCCAGATAGTTGCTAGGTGTTGGCTATGGAATTCCAGGTGGCTCTTATACACAATGTGCAATCACTAATTATGTGTTAGTTTTCCTATTATACACAGCATTTGCTTTCAGTATACTCAATACAACAACAAAAAAGCATGAAAAGAACAATGTGGACAAAAACAAATGATTCAAACTACCATGAGTGTCTGACATTTTCACTTAAACTAATTTTCTGCTGCAAAGCTAACAAACAGCCAATTACTTAAAAGACATCCTGGTTCATATTAATCAGTGCCGGCTCTACATAATAAGCGACATAAGCAGCTGCTTTAGGGCCCCACAAATGCCTAGGGGCCCCTGACAACTTCTAAGTACTGAACAGTACTGTGCAAAACTCATTTTACAACAGTGGTTAACAACTTTCTCTGTTAATCCAGGTTTAGATAATCAGACTGTGCGTGTGCACATGAAAGCGTGACAGGACTCATCAAAGAAGAAAAACTCATTCTACCTTAAGTTGATGAAAGTAAAGCATTTATAACTGTAAAACAGCAATGCTATTGCCACAAGTGTTGATCGAACTAAGCTTAAAGGTAGCTTATTAGTTAGCTTTTAAAAGGCTAGAGCTGATAATCCACGATTTTTGATGGCTTAAAAATTAAACTCGAACAAGTAAAAATGTTATAAGTACTATTCAGTTTTCATATATATATATATATATATATATATATATATATATATATATATAAGGAAGTTTTGTCTTTTACATGTAAGAACATGTAAAAGACAAAACTTCCTTTCATATATATATATATATATATATATATATATATATATATATATAAACTGAATTTGCACATGTAGCTAACAGTTCAGTTTTTAGTAGTAAGAAATCAGTTCGAAGAAGTAACAGTCAAAATTTAAATATCAATTATTTTTTCTTACATCGAGACACTTTTGATTTAAGGTTTGCCACATTGCTAACAAACGACGGAATAACATTCCAGCCGCTCTGGTGCAACTACGGAAGTTTTTTAGCGTGACACGCGATTCCGTTTCCAGTAATTTCTACGGGCAGTAAAAGCGGAGGCGCGTGAACCAGCGAGAGACTTCGAGAAGTCGCGTGAGAGCCGCTCAGACTTCGCTCCGCTTCACGCGCTGCTACCGAGATCCACCCGTTCCCGTTGTCCTGGTCGGTCATGGCAAAGTGGGGTGAAGGAGACCCTCGATGGATCGTGGAAGAAAGAGCAGACGCTACAAATGTCAACAACTGGCACTGGTGAGCTAAAGAGCTGAAGGAGCCGGTCTGTGTGTGTAGCCTCCGTTAGCCATCTTGAGGCAAGCATGGTGGAGGAGCTGCATCTCCAGCGCTTTAACCGATATCTGAAATATAAAAGAGGAATGTCAGTCATATAACGTCTGTCTGTCAGAGACTCAGGGTGTCCGTCTGTCACAGGGAGACATGTTTCAGTCTGTGCTCCTCCAGAGCCGGGCTGTTGGTGTGTTATTTATGATAGATGTGGGATTTTGTCGGAGTTTAGCTTAGCCGTGTAGCTTGGTTAGCTCTGTTAGCTGCATTATTCATGGACTGTATAGCTACATCCTCACAGCGTCCCGTGTCGTTTAGACCTGGACCGTAAGAAATATGTTGGCCAGCCAGGTACGCTGTGTAACTACAGTGTTCTCTGTGCTTCCCAACACAGTCGGGTAACATTAGCTGCACAGAGAGACGTAGCGGTTAGCGAAATTAAAAACAAGATGTTGCCAGTGGAAACGTGGTGAGCACTGTTCTCATCGATTCCTCGGAACTGAGGCTGATCTCGTAGTTTCTTTCCTCGGTTGCTGACATGAACGAATGTTCTAGAAGATATACTGAAGCATAATAACCGTTCATACTTAATAGAGCACAACGACAGCTCTAACTATAGAGCAGGGGTGTCAAACTCCGCCACTAAAGGGGCCAAATTAAAAAATCTCAACAAATTCGTTGGCCAGAGAAAAAAATGTTTTATTTCATTTTTAATGTATGTTGTGCTGTAACCCCAGCTGGCCATTGTTTATTCAAAATACTCAAAAACTTCATCAGTAAAATATAGGCAGTAGATCTTGAAATATTACATGAATACTTGAAAAATTCAAAATTAAAAAGTCCCCAGGAGCTAAGTCTTTTAAACCTACTTATTTGTTTGATCTAGACACCTGGCATCCTTTCTTTGCTGCAAGTTCATTAGCTAATACATGAGCTAAATTTCTGAGCAGCTACTAATACTAATACTAGGTGTTTATATTGGTTGAACTGCAGCTGAAATGAAGCTAGTATATTTGGTGATATGATTGGTGTGGAATTGTGCAGAATTGTATAGAACTGAGGTGTAATCACTGTCCTATAGATTGTTGTTGAGGTAGAAGAGTCAAAGCACACGTTACGTTGCAGTGCATGCTGGGGACTGTAGGGCAGTGCATTGTCGCATTGTAAAACAGGCTAATATTAATAGAAAGTCAAAACACTCTTGAAGGCCAGATAGGATTGTGTTGCAGGCCTGATGTGGCCAGCGGGCCTTGTGTTTGACACATGGGCTATAGAGTAACGTGCAGCCATAGGTAGATTCAAAACACATGTGTGAACACAAACCCTCAAAAAGGATTATTTGTTTTTCTTTACATAATTTGTATTGTAGGTCCCCGATTTACATAAAGCAAGTAATGGTGTGGCGATGAAAGGAAAAAGCGAGTGTCCATACTTATTTATTTTTGGGTGTTTATCTTTTTTGTGACAGACATTTAAGCTACTTTATTATTTTTGGCTTCCACGGTGCCACTAGACAAATGTTGATCTTCCACAAAGTGTTATTCCCTGCAGGGTTTTATTTCATGTATTGATGCTAAAACTCAATACAGTCTTATGCTGTCAAGAAGTAACTTTAGTCAGTGGTGTGTGTCTACGATGTGGATTAGTAACCCTAAGTGTTATTGTTATTTTCTTGGGCAGGACGGAGAGGGATGCCACAAACTGGTCTTCAGAGAAGTTGAAAGAGCTGCTGGTGGGATTGAGTGTAGAAAGCGATGAAGGCAAGTGTGAGATCACAGAGGTCACAAAGGTGGAAGGTGAGGCTTCCATTAACAATCGCAAAGGGAAGCTCATCTTCTTTTACGAATGGAACTTGAAGGCCAAATGGAAAGGTGAGATAGAGGTGATAAAATGTTGTATACCAAAAATGTAATGAAAGATGGTTAGAATATGTTTGAAAAATCTTTTCTTGGAATATAGGAAACATAGCTTTTACTGGCACTCTTGTCATGTATGGTGCTGTCAGTGGGTGTTGTAAAGTAGTGAAGAATCTGTGTTTAAAAAGATGTTAGAAAATGGTAAAGCTTGTTTTTAGAACTCTTTGCTAACGTGATGACTGGTGATTTTCTAGCATATTAACGTACATTTTTGTTCCTGCATGTTGGTTTCTGTGCCCAACATATTGATACTATATACATCAAAATCAATTTTTATAGTCTATTGCTTTAAAATTGTCTTTATTATTCTTTTACAGGAACATCAAAATCAGGAATCAAATACAAAGGAAATATTGAGGTTCCAAACCTTTCAGATGAAAATGAAATGGAAGATCTTGATGTAAGTCACTGTGTGCTCAGAAACACTCAGTTGTCAAATGATGGCTGCAGTTATTGAATGTTTTCATTTCAAATGTTCAACTGAATTTTGACAAGAATATTTACGTATTCTTTGTGTATTAGACAGTGAAACATAATCCACTCAAAACACCATCATATCCTGTGGTAGGATGCCGATTCTATGGGGTCTTCCTGTTCCGCCATGGAGTGTCTTGTAGAGTTGAAAAAAGTGTATCTTAAGCAGATAAGCTCTGCTCATAGTGTTACTTTTTATTAGATAACCTATCTAAAACAGGGGTGTGTATATCTGAACCCAAAGGTGCGGAGAATGTACGCAGAAACAAAATTGAAGGGAAGGAACTCAAATCTCGGGTGCCCCACCCATACATGCATGGAGCACATGATATTTATTGTGCATTAAGCTGACCGTAACTGCTGATTTTGTCTGTTGCATTCTGATTGGCTGTCCGTCCTCCATGTGTATAGACTTCCGAACACTAGGTTTTATCCGTCTAACAGGAGACAAATTTTTGTTACTCTAGCTGAATACTGGCTAGTGCCAGCAGCAAGCAGTTGCTTTTTTTTTTGTCAGGCTTACAGTTAGCCTTAGAAAGCATCATATAATCACTGGTTTGAAAAAACAAGTTTGTGAAGTTCATCTGACATTTTTAAAAGCTATTCAGGAGTTTTATGTATTAACAAGATCAAGCCGCATATTATTGGCAGATACTCCACTTCACACCTCGTATCTCCAAAATGATAACTTTACAGGAGAAGGAAGAATCTACTTTACTTTTAATGTAAGTCAGTGGAACCAGAGTTTTTTCTAAGCCATTTTGGGTTATTTCTTTTAGTCCATTCATCATGAAATTTGCAGAAGCTGCATTATAATAGTATGTTATGATATATATTTATTTACAAATACCTTTGACTAAAGAAATCATGAAAATACATTTCTCAAAAATGTTTACTGACGGTCTATTAAGTGTGTTATTTTTTGTTAAAAAAGTCAGTCTGTTTTCAGTTGTTTTCTAAATACAGGGAAAACACTGACATAACATATTATTGATAGCACGTGTATAATATCTAATATTTGAATATCAGCGCTATGTACAAAATCACAGTAGGCACAGTGATTAAAAATGAACTGCCCTCTAAGAGCATATTCCTAGTTATCCAAAACCATGTTTGGCTTAAACTTTGTACTATAATGTAAAGACGGCTGCATTAGGAATGTAGAACACAACATGGCCATACAAAAAAGTTTCTAAAGGTTCAAAAGGTTTTTAATTATTAAAATAATCCATGTACAGTAGTTATTTATTTTATAGTATTTTCCCCAGGCTTTCCATTCACAAGCTTTTTAATCATCATGAGGTTGTCACACAGATCAGTGTGAGCCTTTGTAAAGGTGAGCCTGATACACCACTGTTTGATTTGATGAAGAAAGAGGGATCAGAAAAGGTTCGTGTGGCACTGAACAGCTATCTAGGGCTTCTCAAAACAGGTAAGACTTACTCTTAAACAGCCTATAGTAGCTGGCATGATGGATATTCTAACACACTCAAATGCAATTTGACCATTTCTCCATACCCTAACCTTAGTAATTACAAGCGGAACTGCAAAACTGGTTTAAGTGTCAAAGAACTACAAACAAAGCTTGGCATCTTGTTAATGAATTGGCTCCCATCTGTACAAGAAAATGTTACAGATTGTACTAGTAGAGTTGAACCCCTAGAGGTCATTGACTGAAACCAGAATGAATAGGACTCTCAAATTGATCACATTTGTACTTAAAGTTCGAGAATTATACTAGGAATAATGTGGTTTACATTAACTAAGCGTACAAAGATCAATTTGTTTTACTTGGGGTGAATCACTCTGTACACAGAAGAGTTTGGAGGGAATCAGCCAGTTAGCTTTATAGCTGTATGACTTTGTACAAGCCTTGACTTTTTGTGTTCTTTTGCAGAGTTCACACAGGGTATGATCTTACCTACAGCCAATGGGGTGAGCAAAGAGCAAACATCTCAGAATAAAGTCAAAATGGACAGAACTCAGGTGGGCTCCAGCATTTAATGACATCACATGTAGGTCCTCAGTACAGAATTAATTAAAAGTAAAAAAGATTTAATAAAGGTTTGTGTAATTTTCATGTTCAGATTGGTTCTAGCAGCACAGCTGCTCCCCCTACAACAGGGGTGAAGATCCCCACCTGCAAGTTCTCGCTAAGGGACACATTCCTTACCTCACCAGAGGAGCTCTACAGAGTCTTTCTCAACCAGGAGGTCAGTCTTATCCCATTCTGTAGTACATTGTTTGTTTGTTTGTTTGTTTGTTTTTACTGTGTTAAAGTGTGTGTGTATTTTTTTTTTTTCCCTGGTGTACTGAATCTTCTCAAAAGCAATATTTTTTTGTTTGTCTCTGGTTGTGTAGATGGTACAAGCATTTACACACACTGCTGCTGTAGTTGAGCCTGAAAAGGGAGGCAAGTTCCGCCTGTTGGAAGGGAATGTATTCGGAGAGTTCCAGGAGCTGGTGAGATGTCTCCTTGTTTAGATTAGAAATGCAAGTCCTACCTGGGTAGGACATGAAAAGAGGAATATGCAGTTTTATTCCAAAATGCTGTGTGTCCATTTGTAACAATTTTGGATATATAGAGGTTTGAAAAGAATAACAGCAAATGTACAATGCACTCGGTCAATAAAATCATTTTTATTTATCTAATAAAAGTGTTATAAACATATGCTGTTGCTATTTCTTGTATGTGTAAAGCCCACTCCCAACAACATATCATGAAAAACATTCATGAAGAAAATTCATGAAAATTGTGTTTAACATGTTTTGGAAAAAACTTTAACCAAATTTAGTACAGAGTGAAGGTGATTATTGACAATCTTTGTGGTGTTTATAGGTTCCTGAGGAGAAGATAGTAATGAAATGGAGGTACAACACATGGCCAAGTGGTAAGAGACAAACATATCAGCATTGTTAATAGTTCTAATGCAAGTAATGATTGATGAGCAATCTACATTAGTTTGAGGGGAAAAAAAGTTGTTATTGTTTCATTGGTCTCTTTCTTTTTCTTAATGTTTCTCTCTGCGTGGGGATGTAGAGCACTATGCAACAGTGACCCTGACTTTCACAGACAAAGGCAATGAGACAGAGCTGAAGATAGAATGCCGGGCTGTGCCTGAGAGTGAGGAGGACCGCACGCGAGAGGGCTGGCAGAGGTACTACTGCCAGGCCATCAAACAGACGTTTGGCTATGGTGCACGACTCTGTTGAGCCCCGAATACACCCATTGTTATTTTTGGCCATTTTTTTCCCTTTCTTCTTTTTTGTCCACATGTACAAATGAGAGCATTGGAATGTGACTCTACTGAATAAGAGACATTGCTCCAGCTTCTTGTTCCTTTCTGATTTTGGTTTTTGACATTTAAAAAGTAAATCCAAACATCAGAAAAGAAAATGAAAGGAGAATATGAATTACAGACAGGGACCTATAGGAGGGGTGAGTCATTCGTTCATGTATTATCTGCATATGTGTGTAATTAAAGGTTTTATTGTAGCATGGCAATTTCTCCATTTGGCACTCTTACCTGGCCTGGAGAGGGACAGGGTCGAATGGTGCCTTTTTTTGGACCGTGAGTTTTTTGATAGTTTTTTTTCCTGAAAGTGATCTATGACAAAGACCTATGGATGTCATGGAGGAATGAGAAAAGAAGAATAAACAAAGAAACTGTTAAACCACTACAATAATCAGTTTCTTTTTGATTTGTATGAGACAAGTAAACATTTTAGGAGAGGCTAACTTTATTTCTGTATATGTTTGTGAAAATCATGATATCATATGGTATTTTCATAATAATTATTATTTACTGCTAATTTTATTCTTTGAAAGGAAAACAAGCTTGAAACAGCCCAAACAGTCCTTTGTGTTGTACAGAATATATTGAAATTTGTGTCAAAAGGCACAACTGGGCATTCCTTCACATAACTGTTTTTTGTATTCATCAGAGTTTGGAGTACTGTATTCATTTCCCCTGTAGGTTTTGTATGTTTTATTTATTTTTCTCCCTGCGTATGGATGGCTCTCATGAGGTCACTCATATCATTCAAGACATGACTTGCTCATCAATACAGAGAAAATATGTACACAAAGTCACAATCATCGTAAAAATAGCAAATTCTTGTTATAAAAGAACACATGCTCTAGGTTTACAGAAATCTGATTTTATTTATTTTACCTCAGCATCACAGTTTCTAAACAAGTGACTGTTTCTTTCACTTTCTTAAAATAAAATTGCCCTTGCATCATCAAGACATTTCATGCATTTATTTTACAATCCCCAGTGTGAGATCTTTGTGTCTTAATGTATATCTTTGCTCTGTTTTGATTTATTCATGTTGATTATCATTAATGTTAGTTGAAAGCAGAAATGTGTTCAAAGTCATCTAACATCCACATCATTACTTTCAATTTTAAAACGTTACATAGGACATATGCAGCTATAAAACGCATCCATCATTTTCTTTAACTCTATGCATCTTAATTAATCTCTCTTCTAGATAGAACATTGGTAATGCTGTTAAATAATTACTCAAAGGTGATTAACGTAAAGTGAGCAGTTCTCTACATTTATGGTGTCCATCATATTGTCAGTATGCATCTAACCCACAACTTAAAATTGATGTTTGACTAACTTTTAAGAAGCTTCGACCAATACAACAGTTATGAATCCAACAGAAAAAAAGGAAAATGAGACAGTAATAGAAAATATATCTCCCTCATAGAATAAACATAAAGTCCTTTTTCAGTATAAAGGGATCTAAAACTTACTAAAGACGTCATTATTCTCACATGCACATTCTTAATTTACTGATGTACTAAACTATTTTTGTTCAAGATCAAATTCTTCTAAACAATTGGGGTGTTTTAGTTCCACATTTTAATTCTGCCTCTGTACCAAAAACAAATGTACAAATTAAAATGATTTCTCTGGGAAATATTAAAAGAAAAACTTTTGTTGGGTCTTCATAAATATTGCTGCAGTTTTCAGTCAGGTGGATAGTAGGAGCTACAGAGAATGCTACAAGAATAAAATGAATAAAAGAATAAGATCATCAGTGACTTTAACACTGTATCAGCATATATGAAGAAAACATTTCATAACTTTCAAACTCCCTAATAACTGGCAAGAAGATCCTTAACACATGCAGAGGACAAGTGAATGAATGGATAAATGAGACTCACTATTCCAGCAGCTATTATCAAGGCGACTGGGTCTCCAAGCAGATAACAAGCTCAGACTCCTAAAAAGCAATAGAAAAAAACATACAATGTTCACATAATATGCAAAATGGATCATTTTTCATTACAGATTGTCAATGGAGGGAACCCAGTGGCAGTTAATAAATCCACAGTATCACCCTGTGACTGGAAAACTAGACAACAACAACTAACATCACATGGCATGAGAGGAACAGATTTCTTTGTAATCAATGTTAACAACGGGTTTCCTACACTAGACGAGTCACTGTGGATTGCTGGCTCAGTGTTGGTCCTTTTGGGCAGCTCTTCTTTCTCAGGGGATTTTGGATTGATAGACATGTTATGCCACTTTCTTCTAAAACGGAAATAATTCAAAGAAAGTCAGTATAGCCAAGTGGAAAGGGAGGAGCTGGAACATTTTTTTTAAATATGTCAGATGCTGAAGTGAGGGCTCTTGTGACAGCTCCGAAAATTAGATGACAAGGTTGCATCTTTATGTGACATACATTGATGTAGCAACATCACAACATTACTTTCCCATTAGTGCAAAAGTGGTTTAGTACTTTGCGTACCAACATACCAAAATCCATTATGATCACTACACAGTATATACCGTTCAATATCAGTATTTAGTATACAGTTAGTACACAGCATGTTTCTATTGTCTGACTGAATGAATTCACTAGCATTTCAGATTTCTTGTTTTGTTTTTGGAAGAGCATGTTGTAAAATGATTTACACATTGTGCAGAAAATCATATACAGGGACTATACAGGCGCTGATCTACACTGCAGTGTGGTTCTGTACCTGTGCCCTGGCCACTTCCCCTTGGGTTTACCCTCTTTAGGTGTTGATGCTCCACAGGCCTGTTCTGCAAGGTCCTTCAGGAAGTCAAACAGCTTCTCAGACTCAATGCACTGCTTCCTGCAGACATCATTGGAGAATATGGACAAAGGTGAAATAGACCAATCAATGCATACACTCATACACAAGTATGTCTGCACTGGTGGATGAATGGGCTGATAAATGGATGTTTAACATACTCACATGTGGTTGACGGACATGACTCTGCTGTTCTTTGACTGGGTGATTAAGCTCGTCTTGGTGAGGAATGATATCAAGAACATTTCCAAAGCTTTAGCTTAGTTTAGAGTAATGGAAGGCAACTGAGCACACTTCACAGTGTTTTCTTTAGCATTGGGTTACACCTCTTTGGCATTTCTTATCTCGGTAGACCAGCATCAGACATTGCTCTTAAAAGGATACAGATGATAACTGGAACGGCAGTGGCCATTCTCCCAACCTCTGTATCTTTCTGCATGATTTTCTTAATGCGACCCTGGTTTGGATTCGAAAGGTAAGGCTACAAACAGCGCTCGTACAAACTTCGAAATTACTCAGAAATGTCTGACGGTACTCACAGGAGGAAAGCGCACGTTGTATTTTCGTTTCTGTCCAGGCATTTCGGTCCTTTAAATGCCTGTTTTCGGATTACATTTTGGGTATTTTGACAGCTTGGTCTCCGGTGTTCCATTTGTTTACCTTTCATAGGAAGTGCAGAATCAGAAATGAAGAAAGCTGAGAAGTTGAGGAGCTCTTAGGAAGGGAACGCCCCCAATGACGTAGGGTGCGTCATAAGGTGTAACATTTTTTAACAAAATGTTATTTATTTTCAAAAACATAGACGTTATAAAAAAATGAACGTGTATTTATAAGTATTGTAGCTGGCGAAAAAATAAGCCATAAATTATGCTTTTTTTATTTTCCTCTCAGCAATCTTGCTAGAGCCATTGCTGCACGAACCGCCTGGTCAAATGTTGGTTAAACCAGTCGCCTCTAGGTGGCAGACTAACCGCTAAAATTCACCAAGTGCATGAAGCACAGAGCGCCCACAGCGGTTTTCATGCAGAGCAGTGCAGCCAGAGGCAATTAAAAAAATCAAACTAAATGTGCTAAGGGAAAAAATCCTGGGAAAATAAATAAATAAATAAATAAGATGACGGTGCTCTTTGGTTGGGAATGTTGTGGAATACTGTGGAAAAACCAAGGCGCTCGTCCAACCAAAACGTGAAAGTGTTTGTTTATTACGTAGAAAATATGAAAACAAGTAAGAAAACAAGCCCAGTACTATTTGCCTCACATAAAATTAAGATTTATTTATTTATTTATTTATTCACTCATTTAGACTGATTCCACACAACATACAGATAGATAGGTACGTGGGTAGAAAGGTAGGTCATGGTAGGTCACCTGTAATTTGCACAGGTGTATTAGTTCTGATCACCACCAGGTGGCACAATAACTACAGTGTTCAACTAATCAGGCGAGAATTACACTGTAATGACGCAACTGTCAGAATAGTAGAAAGTAGTGCGACATCTAGCGGAGAGAAATAGAAAGACATTTGCCTGATAATCCGTGCCCCATCATCAAAAGACGATGACGTGTGAGTGTAGTACTCTTATCATAACGATGAAATAGGCATTTGGAAATAAACATTGTGCTTTACTTTTCAAGGAAGAAATGTAAACACAAACAAGATTTCCATTTCCTTTTTTCAGAAATTAATTGAGGCTGTAAGTCCTGTAGAAGACTGCAACATACAAATTACGTTGTCACATAAAATATAGCAGAACTACGTTACTGGTCCTGACGTTTTGGCCACAGTGCTCCAGGAAGCTCAGCGTACTGATTTAAGGCCAGTCAGTCAGAAGCAGCCGCGTAGGAGCTCCGAAATAGACACTGGTAACCCCCCCGGGGGATATTTTACTCAGCAGACTAATACCGAGACGTGTGGTGGAGGTTTCGTTAAGCAGGTGTGTGTAGTGAGCAGTTATAACTATGAGTCAGTAAATCTGACGTTTTCAAGAAGCGGTGTTGTGGTAATGACTGTGCAAGTGCACGACTTCTCCTGTAGCGTGAGCACAGCGTGATTAGAGCCCCTCGAGTGGATCTGAATTCGCAGATTTACAGTTCCGCTTATAAATCATCGCGTGTTCCACGTGTTTGGGATCTGTGCAAATCCAGTCTGTGCATCTGCCCTCCCCGTCTCTTGAAAATGTAAAATAAATACATAAGCAATGTTTTAATTATGTGCCTATATGAAAATGCTGTACGCTTACTGTCTATGAACAAATCTAGTGAAAGTACCTCAACAAGGCAGCGATGATGGGACTGACCTCTACTTTTTAAGTGTCCCGTGTTGTTCTCTCCACTTGTTAAAATGGGGACAAAAAGTACATTTTAAAAGTGGTGGAAACAGTGCAGCACTTCAAAATGCACAGTTTGTTGCCACTTTTTAAAAATCTGTCTAAAAACGGTGCAGAGCAGCAAAGTGCGCGATTCCTTCCTCATTAAACTGATACCTTTTTGGTAATGACCAGGCTCGTAGGGAAGCCCGTCAGTTTAAGGTAAAACCTAATGTTGGTTAAGATGAGGAGGTCACGTGGTTGAACAGCGCAGAAGTCCGCGCGCACTTTTGATTAAAACAACGGTCATTCAAATTTTAAAACCCAAGGACACGGAGCGCTAACGTTACTGGTGAGCGAAACAATTTATTTTTATGTTGTTGTTCTTAGAGTTAATATCATGAGACATATTATTAACATTATTATCTTAAACCCAAGAGAGTTTATCGTGGCTATTAACGTTAATATCGGTTGACTCCTTGTCGGGATAGTTATCTAGTCGAGATAGCTAACCTAACTATCTCTAGCTAGATGCCTTAGCATAGTTGCATAATAAGGTTAATACTGGCAGTTAAGCTATAGCTTTTTTTCTTTAGGCGTCTGAGGCAGTTGGTTAACTAGCTAGCTTAGCTAGCAACCAAACCTCCAATTACAGACCAGTCAGCTGGTTGTCTTTCTTGGCTTGGGAAAAACTCATTTATAAGTAATAGTTGTTAGCTAACGTATCTTATTTAGCTAGCTTAGTAATGGTAGCAATAAAGTTAGTGCTGTAACTGCAAATAAACTAGCATGTAACACGTAGTCTGCTGTTTGTTTTAGTATTGCTTATAGCTAGCTAGCGAATTCTGATCAGATCAGCTACGCAGTGATTTCTAGCCTCTATCATTTTACTATGTAGTTTAAGGTAACTGTCACAACTATTGTTAAAAATGAACTGCATTACGTGAAGTAAAAAAAAGTGTCTTGGTAACATAACAAAGGTCACTTAGGATAAGAGATATCTGGCAAAAAGTATGGTTATACTTGGTTGTACTTAAAATGTAACAGTGGGTCAATTTGAACCCACATGGCAGTTAAGTTAACCTATATATTTTTGTTAATGAATTTATTTTTTTATAAGAAAATCATTATAGGATATGGCACATTCATTCCAAAATAAAAGCAATAAACTTAAACACCAAGGTGAGTATTCCTTTTTGTTTGTTATATTCATATCGAAGCAGTTAAGAAGTTCATATATTGATATTGCATAAAATACATTGATCAAATGCTCTGCAGATAATGTTCATCGCCTCCTGCTCATTTTCTCAGGATAGGTGTAGTTATACTGAAAGCTGTGTTTTGTTTAGTTCATCAGTCCATCATAGCCATATCTAATCATTTCATCAGTGATACATCTCCATATAAGTAAAAACAATGAGTGGCTTAGTTTGGTGACCCACTACTGCAGTAGTGTCCTGGAAATGGACATTTTTTACCCCTGAGGTCCCCTTATAATATATTTGTAGGTTTATGTTCTAAAACGGTCAAATTATTTGTTACATGATGAATTTTCTGTTTCTTTTTATCCTTGCTGTTTTTGCTTGTTACTGATTTTTAAGACTTTGATTCTGATTGGCTGCCCTGTATTGTGGCTCATTCCAAAAAGCATTCCGGTATAATGAAAATGGTGCTGTCAAAACTTTAAGCTCAAACTTGCATGCAAGAAGTTTGTGCATGTGCAGTTTATATGCAACCAGTGTACATAGGCTACGTTTACACAGCAGGTAAAAGTGGCCCAAATCTGATTTTCTCACCAAATCCGATTTTTTTGTTGGCTGTTCACATTATCGTTTAAATGTGACCTGTATGCGACATCAGTCTGAACAGATCAGCTCCTAAACCGACCCGCATGCGCAAAAGAACAATGCTTCACGTGACGGTTCATCCAAGGGTAAACAATCGTGACGGCCAGCGCACGCCAGTTGCTCCCGCAGCTTTCAGTTTCGTCTTCGCCAGCATCGCAGGCGCGATTATGAAGTTCCAAAGACTGACAGCTGGACTCATCAACCACAGTGTGTTCGGGTTCGCCGTAAAAGGGCACGTTATTCGGCCACGGCCGCTTCTTTGGTTCGTGTCCTCGGATTTTTTAAACTGTTCTCTGACGCTGCAGCCTCGGTCTCCTCCGAAACCTCTTCAAACACGGAGCGGCTGCGATGAGTCTTCTATTTTTTTCGGTACAGAAACATCAGCCTAAACGTTTATGAGTCTCAGCAGCGCGAAATTATGACAAATGTCGAGTTGGATTAATGTAAAAGTCGCATGAATTCCGATCTGGCTGTTCAGACTGAGTCGCATTGCCGCAGATCGGATACGTATCGGATTTCAGTACCACATGTGAAAGCGTCTCAAATCTGAATTAAAAATGTCAGATTCAGTGCGTTTTTTGCTGTTCACGCTGCCACACAAATGACACATCTGTGTCACATATGAGGAAAAAGATCGGATTTGGGCCGCTTTTACCTGCTGTGTAAACGTAGCCATAATGTGTGTGGTGTCAACTTTTTCAGTGTCAACTATTAGTATTTACAGTTTTGCATGTGATAAGTGGACATTCCAAGTATCTCGCGTCAGTTTTTGACAGCGTCAACTGTTTTCATTACGCCAGGCTGATATTTGTGAGATCACAACAACAATGAATTTCAATACTGGCTGTTTTTTGCAGCTCAATTTTCGTACAGGGTCTGTGTGGCCTTTAGAGTGATCAGTTAAGTTTCATGCTTTGATGTCTTCATAATATATTGAATTCTTTATTTTTTTTTTCAACAAATTCAGTTTTCTGTAATGTGGGCCCTCTTGCACATTTCTTATAAATCTACGGTAGCACTAAATTAAGACATCGCCATATCGTTGAAAAATTTTTTTTACACACTTTACATCCAAAAGTTTGTAGACATGCAACATTCGTATCCAACATTACTGCAGTAACAGCCTCTACTCTTGTAGAAGGTTTTACACTAGGTGTTGAAACATTTCTGTGAGTATTTGATTGCATTCACCACAAGAGCATTAATAAAGTTAAGTAACAATGTTGGATGATTAGTTCTGGATCACAAACACCAAATCATTCCAGAAGTATTGGCTGGTGCTTCCTCACTCCAGAAAACGCAGTTCCTCTGCTCCACAGCCATCATCATTACTTTGATTTATATAGCACCTTTCCGATGCTCAAGGACGCTTTACAATCAGAAAGTAACAAAATACATAATCAGCAATACATAAAACAACACAGAACACACACACACACACACAACTCCACAGTTCAGCCTAGTGTTGCGGAACTTTATACCTCTCCGCTTTGCATTGGACATAGTCACCTTAGGCTCATGAGCATCCATTACTATCAGCACTGCTTTTCTATGGCGATTATAAAGCTGTATGTGTGTAATTGATTGACTGTGTCAGCAGTGTGTGTACCCTGAAGTAGCTGAATTCACAAATTAGTGTATAGATACTATGGCGCTGCCACCGGACTTGGGACTTTGGGTCAAATGGGAGCATGGAGAGGAGCCTGTAGAGCACTCCCAGAATGCTATGCACCTCTCCACAGCCATTATCTTGTTAAAATGAGTTAGATGTTGTTTTAAAGTTGAGATGTGTGAATGTTTTGGTTGTGGTAAATCATGTCCTTTTCAGCTATTTAGCATGCTGGAAGTGTTTACTGTCGTCATGTTACGTTTGCCTTTTGGTGATATGTCCCTCATTTCGCCCCATGAGTTAATTCCCTCTCTCCAGCCTCTGGGTCTTCTTCAGCCATGTTTGGACATATCTTCACTGTAAAGACAAGTCACAAAGTACACCTGTGTGTCTATTTTTACCCATGACTCTATCATAAAGATGTAAATTAATTTTCATTTCTGCTACCATCTCATTTAATTATCTGTACTATTGCTGCTTGAGTTTTTGCATCTATTAAGACACATTACAAGGCTTATTGCAGATAAAATACATATTATTTAATTAGATTAAAACACATAAAATCTCTTTTAATTTCATTTTTCATTTGAATTATTTTTTAGCTATATAATAAGCAATACAAGGCTACTGTAGACAGAGTCTCAGTCAGTGAAGAGTTAATGGTGCAAACACTAATCTAGCATTGATCCAGTCCCTTGAACTGTGCGGTTTTACGGTTTGAAAAACAAATTTAATGCTCCAGTATTCAGTTTGAAACGATCTTGGCTTGCGACGACAAACTCCGAGACGCCAGAATTTAGAAATGTACTTTTTACGAGGGACTAGTTTTTCTCCTGTCTGTAGTAATGGAGTAAAATGAGACTCCCGTTGCGAGTGAACTCTGTCTAGCGGATGGACAAAGTCCTGCCCGCTGCGGTCTGCTAGTCCTGCGTGCTTCAGCGAGGGCGGATGAATACAGAATGTGTGACTGAAAGAGTGTGTGGTGACTATATATATGTGTGTGTGTGTGTGTGTGTGTGTGTGTGTGTGTGTGGCACCGTGTGTACACGTACTGAGAGATTGTGTGACGCGGTGTGTGTGTGTGTGTGTGTGTTTTTCAGTGAGTGAGTGAGTGAGTAAGTAAGAGAGAGAGGCTGAGTGAGAGAGAGAGAGTGAGTGAGTGAGAGGGAGCCATAATGACTGTTACTACTCCCAGTGTAAATCAGAGCGATTTCCCCACGTTCGCACAAGGACTCAAGCAGGGAATTTAACATCCCCCTCAGCTTTTCCTACACACAAGAAGTATTCTACGTGGTTATCTGATTAGTCTGATTTTTTTATTTAATATGTTGTAACATTTATAAACATGATTATACGGTAGTCTGTGCTTCTCTGGAAGTTTCTTTCCCACCGCTATCTCTCGTCGCACTTTTCGCGGAGCCGAATGGCGGTGGAAGCGCGGCCGGAGCTCGTGGGAAGGCGCTTCGTGTGCGCGAGCGGCTCGGAGTCGCTGGAGCTCGGCGGGATCTCGCGCTGGAGCTGGAGAGCCGGGGTCATCCGCGCCGTGAGCACGCGTGAGACGGACAGCCCGGGGCTAGCGGTAAGACCCTGAGAGGACGAGGAGGGGACTAGTTCTGTTTTGGCAGAAAGTTCACATGGCGTGGGTTGTTATTTATGTATTTATGGCTGATGATTCTGACGAACTTATGCTGTTGCGGTTTAAGAGTCTCTCTCTCTCTTCACAAAAGTTGGAAGTAGCACAAAACTGGCAAGCCCTAATTGTGGTGTGTGTGGTGTGTGTCAACATTCAAGCAACTATTACCGATGGCTGGGCGTGTTACTATGATTGTAAAAAAAAAAAACTGTTTGCGTGCCTGTGTGTGTGTGTGTGTGTGTGTAGGTGGCCATGGCTCAGCGGGACTACTCTGTACTAATCAGCTGTTTTGAGGCAATTGACTGCACTGCTGCCGTAGCGCGTAATGACTCTCTCTGTACGCTTAAGCTGCGAGTTCAGATCCACTACCAGTGAAACCATGAGTCTGTTTACAGACTAGTCAGTTTTATAAAGTCATTAACAGAGCTAGATCTTCATGAGGCATAATCACTCTTAGTTACTGAGATATAGGCGACTGTAAGGAAGGAGCAATGCTCCATTCTTATGTGATTATGTGTATACATACATACATATATGTGTATATATACTCACACACGTGTACTCTAATGTGGTAAACCTGTACCTGCAGGTTTGCAGCTTTAAAGCTGGTATTCTCCACCTGCTGAAGGAATCAAAGCTCTTAGTGCACTCAGACGAGCACTGGAGTGACTGTGGTTTAAATGAGAGGCTGGAAAGTGTCATTTGAAAGACATTTTAATGTCATTCTTCTAATAAACGAGACACGTGTGCATGTGTGTGGAGGGGCAAAAAGAGATCTCTCCAAAAGGAGATCATATTAATCATCTCACTGAAAACATCACACTTTCTTGTCTTACTCTCTTCTTTTTATTGATTTACCCTAAATATGCTCCTAGAAGAGGATCATGGTGTGTGTGTCTGTGTCATTGTATGCATGCACGTTTACATGTTGTATTTTTTTGTTATTTTACAGCATATGTCAGTATTTCTTCACTGTGTATCAAAGTAATTTAATGTAGTGTTTGAAGAAAACAAGATGTTTGTTTGTTCTTAACATAAACACATGGTATACCATGTGTTTATAAAGGCCCAATATTTGGTTCTTCATAGGTGTGTACAAGTTGAAATCTCTCTGGTGTATTGTCCTGGCTGCGCTAATGTTAGTAAATGTTGAAACAGTCATGGGAAACACGCTCAGACGAGCTATGTAAATACATGATACTTTCCATTCACTCTCAAATCTCTGTTTGTCTGGGTGTGTATGGTTAAAGGAATGCGCTCAAGTATGTTAGTGAAACTGTATTCATGTGAATTTGAGCATGGAAGTGTATGTTCATAGGTGTCTGTATGTGTGTGTAAGGTATGATTATGTTTGCACTTGTTTGTCTTTGGGGACTGAGGTCTCTCACCATTGGCTAGCTGCCGTCCCCGTGGCAACAACGGCTTAGCCGTGCAACTGACAGCTTTCCCTGGGTTACAACCACCTGCCGTGCTGAAGAACACACACACACACAAACACAGACAGGCATGTACATACACTTTGTAATGCTCCTCATCTCCTTCCTGACCTGTTGTTTGAGTTTGCCATTTACTGTTGTCATCTGGATCTTTATAGCACCTTCAGCCATCATCTTCAGTCCATATCACACTGACAGCTTCATGTATGTGGGGGCTCACCTGCTGACTGCAGTGCTTACCTACCCAGCTTTACGAGCACACACCAACAGATTCATTGTTTGGGAAGATGTGAAAACATTCTTAATTTAAAATAGCAAACAGACTTAGATTCTGGTATTAGTTTGTTTGATCCCTGCTCTGATTGTAAATTCTGATTGTTTTTTCCTAATATATGTGCACGATTTACAGATTTATTTTTCCTGCTGTTACAGTATAATTTTCTTCAGGGTCAAGACTCACAGGACCTATGCTTTCACTCCTCTCTCCTGTTACAGTTTCTATGTAATTACTGAATAATAAGCCAAGGATGTAATAAGCCTGGGATTTTAAAAGGGTTAATACATTTTCTGTCTATCTGCCTGTCTGTCTGTCTATTTGGTGTGAAATACTTACTCAGTGTAAAGAGCAGCTTAATGCTAGGCTATATACCAGTCTATACTAGTATACTACATGGAATGAGAGTTATACATGTTAACATTTTGTTTCATAAAATAGCAGTGTCCCTGTTGCCAGTCAGTTTGTTTTTGGTTTAAATTCTATTTGAGCAATTTACACTTGGTATCCCTGGTGTGACAAGTACAAGTGCTTTGGAAGCATGTATTCAGTAACTTTGTTAATATAAACCTAAATATCATCTCATACAATTCAACCTACATATTTTTGGAAAATGTCATGATACTGAATTTTATCAGAATCGCCCAGCACTAGGGCAGCTGGTGTTGGTAGGAAAAAGTTACAAGGGTTTTTTAAGACAAAGTGACAGGCAGTATTATGTGACATAGTCCTTTTTGACAGTCTGAAGACAGGTACATAGTGCAAATGATATTTAAATTTGTCTTTATTGATCATGTTTGTGTTAAAGTGGAGAGGCTGTTGTATGTTTCCGCAGTGAACGTGTGTAGATATAGGTTTCAGCAGTAGGCGTGTATGTGTGTGTGTTTGTTTGTATGTGTGTGTAATATATGGCTCTTGTCCGCCTCCAGGGATGAGACATAAGTGATGGCACACTGGGGCCATATCATCTACTATCATATGTCTGATGCAAACGTACATTCATGTGTTGCCCAACATACAGACGACATGATTCATTGTGTGGTGTGTGTGTGTGTGTGTGTGTGTGTTGTCAGCTTGCTCTGATAGTCTTCTGATTTTGTTCTGCACTGCATTAAGTAAAGCCAGATGTCTTTGTTTGGACTCGAGTCCACCTCATCTCTCTCTTCTCTCTCTCCCTCTCTCCTCCCATTTCTGTCCTTTTTACTTTCTCTCACCATTTCTGTCTCTCTCTCTCTCTCTCTTTCTCTCTCTCCCTCTCCCCCTTTCTGTCTTTTTCACTCTCTCTCCCTGTTACTCTCTCTCTCTCTCTTTCCCCCCTCTCTCTCTCACTGTATTCTGTCTTTATCTCTTTCGCTTTTTCTCTCTCGCTCTCCCTTTCTGTCCCACTCTCCCTTTCTTTCTTTATCTCTTTCACTCTCTCTCTTTTTCTTTCTCTCTGCGGCTGTGTGTTTGCACTCTGCTCTATTTAAGCACTCCTCATTACCCCTCCCATCTGTGAGTGTGTGTCTGTGTAGTCCAGCTCTCAGCATGTGTGACTGTCTGCACACACACGCACACAAACACACACACACACACACACACACACACACACACACAGCTATATGATTCTGCAGTGTCAGAGGCATGGGTTGTATTTCATCAGTTCACGTGGAGAGAACATGAAAAAAGGAGCTTCTGTACTCTCTTTCTCTTTCTATATATACATATATATATATACAAATATATATATATATATATATATATATATTTATATATATATATATATATATATATATATATATATTTCCTTCCTCTTTCTTTATCTCTCTCTTGCTTTCCTTTTTTGTTCTTCCCCTTTCTCTCTCTCTCTCTTTCTCTCTCTATGACTTGCTCTCTCTCTATTCTCTCTTTCTCTGTGCTGATACTAGTGTGTGTTTGTAAGCGTGTCTGTAAGACTGTGTATCTGTGTCGCAATCTTTATGTGTATCCTCTGTGAGTGTTTGTGTTTAATACGGTGTGTGTAAAAGTGTGACAGGACTGTAATGCGTGTGTGTGTGCACGCGCTGATCCATATATGGCTTTCTTTTCATTTGACCCTTGACCTTTGGCAGATGGTTTGAAGCTCTGCCAGGGAAGCGTTTGTGATTCTGCAGACCAGACAGATTGTGTGTGTGTGTGTGTGTGAACACTGTAGCTTATCTCCAGAAAGACATGAGGAGTCCAGCTCAGGGAGTGTGATAATAGATCTGAGCTGTGCTGAGAGAACACACACACAAAAGTACACAAACACTCTCGCACTCTCTCTCTCTTTCTGTCTGTCTCTGTGTCTGTCTTTCTCTCTCTGTCTGTCTTTCTCTCTCTGTCTCTGTCTCTCTCTCAGTTAGCCTTTCAGTCTTTCAGTCCTTTTCCCTAATATGATGCAGCTAACAAAGGTGTGTGTCTGTCTGTGAAAGGGAGAGTTTGTGTGTGTGTGGTGTGTAGGTGAAGATGAAGGGGGTTCTGTGTGAGTCAAGAATTGTGATTATTTTATGCACCTGAGTTAGCATCACAAGGAGCATCAGTCACTGTGTGTGTGTGTGTGTGTGTGTGTGTGTATGAGAGTGAGTGAGTGATGAGTGGACTGTAGAGAGGTTTATTTAAGCTGGAGCACTGGCATGCATGGCAGATTCAGAGTTATGAGGAGGATGGATGCAGTGGCCTAGATTTACATCCTTATGAGGTGTCCAGCTAACACTGTGTATGTGCTCACCTTTACCTGTCTTCCACATACAAAGTACTTAAACTAAAGCTAACATCCAAATACACCTAAAAATATGCAAATGTGTTTGATTATGTTCATTATTAATTTAATACTTTTGTGTGTGTGTGTGTGTGTGTGTGTGTGTGTGTGTGCGTGCAGATGTCATTGACATCCCTTTCATTTTTTTTTATTTTAGGTCAGAACAGCCATTAAGTACAAGTCATTTTTCAGCTTCAAGAAAAAAGCAGAAATACTTTTTATATGTTGTATATAACAAATTTTTGTTATGTTTTTTCCAGTAAAGGTAGTAGTAATCATATACAGCACTGATATTTCTTGTATGTGTAAAGCTCACTCCCAGCAACACATATCATGAAAAAAGGAAATTCTTAGAAATAGTTTATAATGTTCTTTGGAACAAAACCATGTCATATCATATTCATATATTTAACAAAAAATTACATAGAAGCTTGAACAGATGAATAAGTATTCTTTTCAGGAGACTGACTTTCAGTTT